ACATCATAAGTATTCGTAATTATACAAAGTCGCTGAAGTCACTGCTGACACAACTGTACCATAAGGGAATGGGATGAAAACCAGAAAAGGCAGGAGTGTGAGACGGAGATGTACAGTATTTGTGCAGGTCTCCAAGGGTTGTGTAGCCTTAATCCCCCTGCCCCAAGCACAGGAGATATTTCTCTCGGAGTTAATGTTACAATAAGCCATATCTCTGCAGAATCATAAAGATCAGGAAGGACATTAATCTCCCTCCATTAAAACCAGTTATTTAACTATATTTATGTCACTGGCAAAATACTAATTAATTCAGTGCTAGTAGGATCAGGCACTAGCATTTTGCATAAGGACCAGCCTTACCTAATTTGCATTTTTAACTGAATGGCCATTGGAAAAAGGCTTTTTCTTTCCCAACAATACAGCAGTGATCAAAAGATTCCCATTTTGTTTTCAGAACACTAAGGGAAGAAAAATTGCTCAGGTTTCAGAATGACTCAAGGATGGAGAAGCCATGGCTGAGCCTGGGCATTGAGGGAGAGGCTTATTGAGTGTTTCTGACTCACTGCAAAGTACAGGACCTTCATATTGAACCTTGCTAATCCCAGCTGGCTTCTGAGGGCTGAAAAACTACTTGTAGGTGTATATCACTCTGCTGAGCAGCAAGGCACCTGTGGCCATGAGGCAGATACTCCCACCAGCGACTTGGGAAGATTTATCTACACTTCCCTGGAAGTTAGAGTTGTATGTTAGGGGTCATCATGGGGAATTTCCTGTACATTGTGGCCCTGATTCAGAAAAATACTTAAAGTACATCTTAATCTTTAAACAGCTGTCTAGGGTTGCTTCAGTGGGTCTGTTCATCTGCACATGCTTCAGTGCTTTGCTGAATCTGGGCCTATACTCATCCCCAAAGTGATGCTCTATATAGGGAGGCTGTTTTTGTTGCTGCATCATGTGTGTGGTATGGGCTTCCCCAGTGGAGAAAAAGTGTGCAAGGGCCATGTGGTTGGAATCATGTGTATTAGGCAGATATTGAGAATTATACCACAAAGAAATTCACCATTTATTTATTTGTTTATTTTAATTTATTTATCTTTTTTTACAAAATTAGCTTGCTGCAATATACGAGAAATTTATGATCACATGGACTGACAACTCTGAGGGAGACACCACGGAAAAAAGATCTGTGAGTGGTCTGTTGTGAGCAGAGGGTGCAGCTAAGAGAAAGCCAGTGAAGAGACCAGACTGGGAGTTTATTGGAAAAGGCTGTGGAAAGTTAGGGTTTCCTAGGCTGGGAGCCCATAGTAGTGGGTGGATATGTTCCTTCTTTCCTGCCACCCCATGAGGAAGTATACAAAAGGAAGAGGAGAAAGATTAGAGCAGAGGGAAGGGCTGAAGACAAGGTATAAAGAGTAGCTCTTAAGAGGAAAGGCTGTATCCAGTGCAAGACTCTGGATGGAAGATTTGGTTTTAGGTTTACATTGGTCTTCGAGCTGAATTGCAGAAGTGGTGGATTTTGGGATTTATCTGGAGTCCTAAGTGACCTTGCAGTGACCGAACAGAAATGGGAGCCAGTGAATAACCGACATTAAGGGGAAGCTTAGGCAAAGGCAGGGTCTCATGTCAGATTTGAGATTTAACCGTTACAGTTTTATTGAAAACCAATATGATAGCCTCTGGAGTGTGGTCTCAAAGTGCTGAAGGAATGAAAGCTGATGGCAAATTGAACATAAAACCTTTATTTTCATTGACTTTCACGAAGGAAGGACTAGTCCCAGGAGCGGCCTAAGGCAGGCTGCGGCAGCTGGTACCCCAGGCGGAACGCACGATTGGCGCCCCCGCCTGCATGGCCATCAATGCAATGACATCATCCTCAGGCACCCCGGACACCCATGACGTCATCATCGGGCACCATTGAAGGTGGCACCCTAGGCGATGGCCGTCACGGGCCGCCCCTGACTAGTCCCTTACATTTTCCAAAACGTGAAGAGTTTAGGCTTTTGTTGCGGATTTATCATCCACAAAGACAAAGCTGTAACCAACCTTTCATACAACTGATTTGAAAAAACACCAAGACGGGGTTATAGTTGCTTCCTAGATTGTGTTAAAAAAAATCTGTGTTATAAAACAAAAAAATCCCCCTCCTTTGGAAACGGCCACTCCATTTGACAAGAGATTTTGCAACTGGACAATAGTTAGGTAGCAATGCTAACATAATAATCACTTTTTAAAAGTTGTGCCCAGAATAGAAAAATTAGCACACTGAGAATGCATCTACACAGGAGGGCTTAACTTGAAATAAGCTACACAAATTGAGGTACATCAATTGTGTAGTTTATTTCAAAACAGGAAGCGCTACATAGCACTTATTCTGAAACAGAGCACTTTTCTTCCAATGTCCCTTACTCCTCGTACAATCAGGATTACAGGAGTTGAAGAAGTCCTCCAGCTTGACAGTATTTCGACATTATTTCAAAATAACTGCCTGCTGTGTAGACGTGGACTAAGTTATTTCAAAATCATGTTGCTGTGTGTACATACCCTTAGACAAGGTGTTTAAAACTGTGTGTCTGTGCTGCAATCACCAGCCTGACCTTGCATGCCATGGGCTCCATTCAGCATTTTTAACACACTCCTGATTTAGCAAAAGTCCTTGATTTCAATGTGATCTCTGGGTGTGCAAAGGCTGCTGGAAGTGAACTCTCACCATTGTAATAGTTTTGTTAAGTCCCAACTCCTGGAGCCAGCTGATGACATGACAATCTCAACTTCAAAAAAAAAAAAAAGTTTTGCTTTCCTTGTGTCTTATTTCTCATGGAGAAAAGCTTGAAAAGTGTCCAGCCGGCCCGGGAGAGGTTTGGAAACCAGAGGGCAAAGAAAACAATAACTTATCTGTGTACTATAAAAGGTCGGTGATCTAAAAGGCTCCCCAATTCTCTTCCCAGAGAAACCTCTCCCACCTCCGAAAGAAAAGTAAGAGAGGAGTTTCCACGGAGAGAAAAAAACTCCCTCTCCTAACACAGCCTGTTTCGGTTCTGTAAGCGGGTGCGTTGTTTGCGGAGCCCGGGCTGAAGCGTCTCTGTGGAAATCACCCAAAAGCCCCAGTCGCCGCGACTGTTGGGGGGGGGGCACCCACGCACAACGGGACCCCGCGGAGCAGCTCGCTCCAGATCAGCGCTGGAGCTGGATGGTGTGACCGGAGCCCAAGCGCCCGCAAAGAACCCGGAGCAGCAAGAGACCGGAGCCAGCCTGCAGCCAAAACCTCACTGACACGACATGGGATGCTCCCTCCCCCTCTGCACCAAATATCCCAAAGCCCTCGCGTCCTGCCGCAGATGCCTCGCCAGCCACCTCTCGCTGCACGGTCTTTTTTTTTTGAAAACACATTGAAAAATTACATGGGGGGAGGGAGGGAGGACGCCCACTCCTAGTGCTGGAATCCAGCGGGGTCAGCCCTTGGGCTATAGACTGAGAGACGTTTGTCTTTCTAGCTACTCATCGGGGAAGGCAAAAATCTTAAGAAGGGAAGGCGATCGGGGTCCAATCCTACTTGCCTCTGCCAAGTCCAGCCAAGCAAACCTTGGTTCCTAGCCGCTGATTCGCTCCTCCTGCCTGTCACCGAGTTAAATGTTGCACAGTGTGGAGAAGAACATCGATCGTTAAACGGGAGGATTTGTACTTTCTCTTGTCCTGTCTGTGGCGTGTCTGCTTAGGTTAAATGTTCGAGCTTAGATTAGATTTAGGTTTTCACTTTTACATCTGGACTGGATGGATTTTTAAAGGGAAGGAGGACTGGGGGAGGGAGGGAAGATCTACGCAACAGCCTGAACGTTCACCGTTTCTGTCGCCCTAATCAATCAGTCTGGTGTAATGTCACTGTAGTTTGAGAGGGGAAATACTTCCTATCATTGGCTGGCCTTGATAACGTATTTTAAAGGCGCTTGGATAAGAGACATAGGGGGGAATTGCACAGCACGTAGACTTTAATAATTCCTCGGTTTATCAATCTGGCCTATATTTACCAGCAAGTTATAAAGCACTTAAAGTTACATAAACACAACGTGGAAAAGAAGACATGTCAGCCTTTGATAGCGACCAAAATGACCTTTACTGAAGCCCGATTTAATTAATGCGCATTCTGACACTCAACAAGGTGGGGAGACGCTGTACTTCGCTGGCCGCAAACGTGGGCTTTGTGTTAATGGTCAGTAGAGTAAATGGGCTATGTCTGCTTATTTAATAAAACATATGGCAATCGCCTGCCTCTGCTTAGCCTGAAAAGTTCAGGCAGAACAATTTTCAGGGAACTGGGGATATTTAATATCAAGGCAAATTTACAAAGGGTTACACATGATCTTCGCTGGACAGAAGATCCGACTTGTATGACACTAAATCCAGTGTTTGTGAGAAACAAGCGGAAAGCTCGCAATACACGCTAACAGCTGGATGTGAAAGGAAGTGAGCTCCTGAACCTGTGCGAAAGAGAGATGCATAACTGAGCGGTAGACAGACATAGCACACGAATTGTTATGGTCTTCAAAGCTGTCTTTTTCGTTCCCTCGCTCTCTGTTTTAAAGGCAATGCCTCTGTCAAACGAGAGGGTTGCACTTGCGTATGATGGTTCACTGCAGAGTGAAGCGAATTATAACAACCCCAGAAAGCCGTCTCGCCTCCTCTCCCTCAATTAACTTTATTGAATGACAATGAAAATGGGAGATGGCTGTAGCTCGGCCAAAATAAACCTCCCGATTCCACGGAGAGCGCTACAGGAGGGAAAAGCCAGTCGCCCCCGTTCGTGTTAAGTTAAAGAAATCCACAAGGACTCTTTTCTTCACCCAAGTTTAATCGGCCACAAAGCCTTTCCAGGGGATTTTAATCGGAGTGATCGAAATGAACCGGAACAATGTAATTGCCGATATATCGGAATGGCTACTATATATTTCAGCAACTCTTCCCCCTTCTGCCATCCCAACACGGTTAGCACTGCCCACTTCCCCCCCTTCCCCGTTTCCATCCCAGTTTTTTCTTTCCGTCAGTGGCAAGTAAAACATGCAGGCGAGGACCAGAGTTTAACGCCGCTAGGAACGAATCAAAGCCGATTTCGCGGAGTCAGAAATGGGATCGGGCCGGGAAGGTGGCAATTTAAAACCCAACCATTTAAACCAACGCGTGGTTAGTGGTTTTTGGAACACAACTGAAACGAAAAGGGGGAAATCATTGCCTAGAATACAGTACTGTACACCGGGATTTCTTATCGAAGCCCATTGGAGAAAATAGAATGAAATTTGTAGCCCGGCTATAAAGTAAACAGACAGCTAATCAGTGATGAAAAAGTTTTGGAGTCTGGACTGGAGTGTAAAATGCAGGTCACCTTCGAGCCATTAGAGCCAGATCTCTGCTAATGTGTGTCACCTCCTGCCCACGCCTCCCCTTTTTTCTCGGGTCGGAGTAGGAGACACGTAAGTGACTCTTACATGCCCGTTTAGGCATTTCCTTGTCTACCCCTGTGGAAAGGCATCGCAGATGCGCTACGTGAGGCTAGAGAGCTGCACTATTTGGCGAGCACAACATGTATTTAAGCAAGAAACTATTGTAAATTTGGGGAGGAAAAAGTCCCCGACTAATTCGAAATTTCCGCTAAGTGAAACCTCAGTCCCACATGATCTCAACCTGGATGCCACTTTATGTCCCGCCGTTCTACTTTCTGGTTTGCCTGGTCAAGGAACCGCTAGAGAATGTGAACGAAAAATGCTGTTTAAAGGCGATTGCTTCCACCCGCTCTAACCCTAACAACCATCCCGTAACGAAAGGATCGTTGTATGTAGACCATTATGCCTATTGATCGTCCGCTTGGGCTCTCTTCCTTTAGCAAATATAAACATTTGTGGGTCACGGAAGTTAAGTAAATTGGGAGCCCTACATTCAAGAGAATGAACCAGTTTCCAGATCTCTGTGCCTAGTGTTACATTGTTTAACTCGCATCACAAAATAAGGGGAAGAGGGATCTAACACTTTGACGGGAGGAGCAGTATTAGCCAGGCAAACGTGAGCTGGATCTCTCGCAATTCAGCTGAGAAATTGGAAGGTTTTCCCCCGAAAAGGGGTTATTTTTCTCCGCAAGAAAGTCTCCTTCCATACCCACTCCCAAAGCACCGCAGTGAAACTCAAAGCCGGCCACGCGCGCTCCCAAGCAAACCTTACAGCCAATACTTTATCCCCAGCCGTGTATAAACTGTTCGCTTCCCACTCACCCTGCCCGGGAAAAAACCCCTACCCAAGATAAACACTCTCTATCAGCAGGTTTTTGAATGGTGTCTGTCGTAACAAATAGTTTCTGATGCTCTAAGCTGGGAGACAGGCTTCATCCAGCCCCCCTCCCCTTCCCCCAGATGACTCCCTGTCTGTACAAACTGATGATGACAGATATCCAGCGGATAACCTCTGGGGAACGAAGTTATTTTAATTTCCAGTCACTTTCCCGCTAAGGACCATATCAGTTTGTACACGGCTGAGATAAGAGAAAGAGTCAGAAGGAAAGGGACGAAAAACGGAGCCCTACCGGCAGGAGTGGACGGAGTGGCTGCTCAGAGCCTGCCTTTGATTTTACTTGAGTCCTACAACGCTTCAAGGAGAGCGCTGAAGTCCCCGGGGAAAAGCCTTTGGGGGGACCTTTTGGGGGCTGTTCACCTGCTTTCTTAATGTGAGCGTGAGGCAAACGGCGCGTGGCTCACACACAAAAAAAGCCACACGGCAGGCCCATGACCTAGATGAAGCCTCAGTCTGTAAAAAAGAAACAACTGCAGCGCCCTTCACACTTTAAAGGGGATTCCCTACAATCTGGGGTCCCGCAGGGGGAGGGGGGCTGTGGGAAATGAAAATCACCGATGAAATAGGCTTTTAGTGAAAAAACTCCACCTGCATTGTCTGTTTCTGGCCGGGGAGCAGAGCGCGCTGGCTGCTTAGGTAGAAAACGCCTCGGACAAAGGGCAAAGGGGTGTGCTGGCAGTGCGTTGTTGCGAGCGTGCCACTTCGGGATTAGTCACTGACCCCCCTGGCTGAGCACTGCCTAGCACTGCTGTCTCGGGAGATCGCTTCCTGACCTCTGTCTCCCCCCGCATGCAGCGCGCAGCCCCTTTCGCCTCGTCTGCCTCTCACGCCAGCGCTGGCAGGAGCGGCGCGTCTGCCCTGGGACTCGCGCAGGGACTGGCACCCCTCCGGAGCGCACTGTTTGTTTAGGGCTCGCTGAATCCAATCAGGACGTGCTGGCTGCAGTTTTCCGGCAGGGCTGCGAGAGGCGCCTCCTCTCTCCTTTTTATAACATGAGCCGCTCGCAGGAGCCGCAGGACTCGAGTTTGCCGCTCTCCGCTCACTGGATTACAGCCCGCTGAGCCCCGAGTGAGGAAGCCAATGCCAAGCGATCGCCAGAGGTTTGCTGACTGATTTTGCTCCCTCTCGTACCTCTTGATTTAAGGCACCACCCGGGCTCGCGGAGGGCTCTGGCGGGGCAGGAGGAGTCGCTCTGGACAAACTTCTGCTCCCTTTCCTGGAAGCCTTATCTGTCCGCCCCTTATCTCCCAGTTATCTTGCAAAGAGAGAGACGCATTTTGCGCCTATCTGCAAGGGGGTTTGTGTGCTGGGATTGCTGGTCATTGTGGTTATCTTAAGAGCCCCGAGGAGGTTTGGGACGCTCGGAGAAGGAGACTTGCGCGCCCCACTGTTGTTGCTGGAGCGGCTGACACTTCCCCCTTCTCCAGACTCTTTCGCTTTCTCTCCTTCTACTCCAAGGACTTGGCACCGGGCTGGGGGAGGGGGAGGAAGGGGTGTGGGGGGCTCCCGACCGCAGTGTGATCTCTGCCTGGTCCCCAGAGCTCAGTGGGCGTTCGCTGCCTGTGGATCGGTGCCCTTCCCAAGGTGCGCTCCTGCTGGGCTTGGACTTGCAACTCCAGAGGCCCCGAGTAACCGGCGCGGGCTGGCACCAGCTTCCCGGTGCCCTGCTGAGATCGCCCCTCCTGGGTGGGCTTGGGCTCCCTCCTCCTCTTGGGTGACCTTTTGTCTGAAGCGCAGGGGAATGTGTTTCCCCCGGGCTAGAAAGAGCCGTGCCCGGGCCATTGCTAATTGTGTTCCCCGTGGAAGGAATTCCGGTGACTCACGCAGCGGCACAGGAGGAAGGGGCGCGTGGGTAGCCCACAAGAAACGCCTCGCTCCCCCCTGCGGCTCTTCATTTGCCATCTGCGGCCCGAGATAAGGGGGGAAAGTCCAGCCTGGAGCCAGGGTCCCTACGCGCTGCTGGGGGGTGGCCCCCTGCTAGCGCGCCCTGCTCGGAGGCTGCCGGGCGGGGCGGAGGGGGGGAGGGTTGCGGGGTGTTAATGACCTTTGCTGTCTGAGCCGCCTCCCGCCGGGAGCCGTCCAGGCGACAGCGCTTAGAGCGGCCCCCAGCCCCCCAGCGGGGCGCAGCGCAGAGGGACGCGCTGGGGCCTGGTTGCTAACTTGCTGTGTTTTGTCTCTTCTCCTTTGTGCCCCCCCCCCCCCCCAGAGCATAGCCGGGGACCTGGATGGCCCTGACTGAGGGCGGCTGGTGCGTGGTGAAGCGGTGCGGCGCGGACGCGGGCGACTCCCCCTGCCCCTTCCCCGCCAGGGAGCCGGGCCCCTCTCCTCCTTCGCCGTCGTCCTCCTGCTGCTCCCCGGCCGAGCGCGGCTCCTCCAAGACGCCGCAGCAGGAGCCCGAAGCGACCCGGCCGCCGCCTCCCGCCGAGGGCAGGTCCCTGCTCGGCCCCTACGTGCACTTCGGAGCCCCCCACGCCTCCAGCCTGCCCAGCTGGGAGGACATCCTGCTCTTCGCGGATTTAGACCAGACCAACAAGCTGCTCTGGTCCAGCCGCGGCTCCAAGCTGAGCCCCTACGGCGCCGAGCAGCCCGAGGAGATGTACCAGACCCTGGCCATCTCGGCCAGCCAAGGCCCGCCCGCCCCCTACGATGGCTCCGCCGGCAGCTTCATGCACTCCACGACCAGCTCCCCGGTCTACGTGCCCACCACGCGCGTGGGCTCCATGCTGCCCAGCCTCCCCTACCTCCAAGGCAGCGGGGCCGCCCAGCCCAGCCACCCGGGCAGCAGCCACTCGGGCTGGCCCCAGCCGGCCTCGGAGAGCCCCTCGTACAGCAACGGCAGCGGCTCGCACCCCTCGGGCCGCTTCCCCTACTCCCCCAGCCCGCCCATGGCCAACGGGGCCTCCCGAGAGCCCGGGGGCTACAGCAGCAGCCTCAACGCCAGGGACCAGTACAACCCGCTGGGCCGGCCTCTGAACGGATCTTACCCCGGCCACTACCCCTCCTACGTGGGGCCCCAGCTCGCCCCGGCCTGGCCCACGGGACCCTTTGAGAACTCCATGCTCCACTGTCTGCAGAGCCGGGCCACCCCCATCCCCGTGCGGGCTCCCAGCGCAGGTAAGAGCGCAGCGCCCCGGTGCCAGGCCTCGCCACCGGCTTGGGCTGGCGGAGGGGCAGGCAAAGCTCCCGACAGATACCGCGGGCTGGGGAGACCGGAGGGGGGGAGATTTCCCTGCAAGAGGAGGCGGCATTTGTATGTGGGGCCGACCTGTGTTTTTTCTGCTGCAATGCTGGCGCTGTGGTTGTGGAGATGGGTGGACAGGGGAGGAAGTGAGAGGGAAGCAGATGGCAACTTCAGTCTAATTATTAGGCCTTGGTTGTTGTGTTGTCTCCGTTGAGGGGGAGGCTTCGAGCAGGACGGTGGAGTAAATGTTAAGATCCTGGCGTGTGTGTGTGTGAGTGAGTGAGTGAGTGAGTGAGAGTAACTGACGTGTGTGCAGCCTTTTTTTATTAGCACAAACCTATTCTTTGGCTGAATATGCCTGCAGTTTGGTAAATAGGGATCCTACCAGATCTCTGATCTTCAGGTGTTTCTTAAGTTTCTTTCTCCTGAGTTGTGAGCAGGAACAGGGGTTTTGAAGTACCACTGGAAGTATTGTGAGACCCCCATTCTTTGGGTGATTTTGAATGGCGTGGCTTTGGTGATGTGGTTGGCAGGGGGCCGGTAATGCAAACGCAATAAACAGCACTGCCTTGTTTTCTGTAATTAAAAAAATATGGCCTTCGTGAGAAGAATTTTAATCAATTTTGTAAGCCTGGTCTTTTAAATTTAATTTAATTTTTTAAAGAAAAGAATCGGTTAATGTATGTCACTTCCAAATGTGTGTCTATACCCGTGCTTCCCCCATATTAACATAATTCGATTAAGAGAGAGTGAAAAATGCAGTGTAAATTGCGTCTTCTCTTCGAAACCAACGATTCTGGCAAATTAACCGAGACTTGTTCAATGGATTTTTGTGGTTTCCAAAAGACACACGCAGTGTTCGCAAGTTTTATATTAAAATCAATGGACATTTGTATTAAAAAAACGCTGACACAAGCAGGCCCCGGTAGAGAAATTGACTGATGTCAGCGTCTTTTTAGAGAAAGAAACTTTATGAAATTAACCGTAGGGCTGATTTTTTGGTTAGGGCATTCTCTTCAGACCGAATATAATTTTGCGTTTGCTTTTGCCTATCAAACTAATAATAAATACTTCATGAACGTGGATTCAGTAGGATTTCCCTTGGGTCTATCTCCTGTTCTTTAGATTTTTAAAAAACAGGAGTTCGATTTGAAAATCTTTTGATTGTTCCATAAACAGTCCTTCTCCGGGACTCCGATACAACATATTTAATGTACAAAAGCTTCAGAGGGGTAGCCGAGTTAGTTTGTAACAGGGAAAACTTTAAAAACAACAATAGACTAGTAGCACCTTATGTTTTGTTAAGTCTTTAAGGTGTTACTAGTCTATTGGTTTTTTTATATGTAATGTAGGCATTTGAAGTCCCACTCTCTTGTATACGAACATGAGACAGAGAGTGAAGATGGTTATTTTTTAGAGATCGCAGCGAAAGAGCAAAGCAGAAAACTCTTCTCGCTTGCAACACGGACGCTGAATGGCAAAGCTTTCAAAGTTAAAGACAACCGTCCTGGATCAAATCTGCAAGGAAGGAGCCATTCATTTGCTTAAGAAGAGGGATATGGGAATCGAAAGTCTCATAGACTAGCAAGGGGCGGAAAGGGAAAAGGCTCATGAATAGATTTGAAGAGGAAGGAAGGAATGGGAAGCCCTAGTCTACACAGCAAGAAATTAAGGAAGGAGGGTTAGCGCTGCGAGGAAGGGCGAGCGGGCACATTTCTGAGCTTGGATCTGTTGCTGGATCACTGCTTCTCCTTCGCAAATATCCGATACACTCTCCTCATGTATTCCGCCAGGAACGCATTTTTTTGTTTCTTTTGCACAGTGTTCAGACGAGTAAATTGGTGGTATATCCCGCCCCGATCTCTCAGCCCGGTCTCTGGGGAAATGTGATAATATATTAAGCGTGACATGGCCGGGAAAGTCTTTTACGGTGTACAATTGAATGTTGCTAACTCTGTGCCCCTGGCCACACACTTTTCTGGAGATGAGTTGGTGACCATGTGACCGAAAAGGTGTGGGGATGCGCAAGGTGGTGGGGGGAGTTATTGGCTGCTGAAGATAAAGAGACTTCAAAGCTGGGTTAAGGTCTTACTGTGAAAGAAATAAGAGCCCCAGGAACGATTCAGCTTAGGACCAAGCAAAGCGTGTATATCCCAACCACAAACCACAGGTGTCCTGTCAATCGCCACACTTCAAAATCTCTTCCCCCCCCCCACCACTAACCAGGCTTAGACTAAATTCGGGGTAGAATGCAACCTATCTATAATGTTTGTGGGTGAGGAGGGACTATCATTTTCACTGGACCACTTCTGTGGTGAGAGAGACAGAGCTCTTCCTCGGATCTGAGTTAAGGATGACTTTATAGCTCCAACGCTTGTCTCTCTCAACCAATAGCAGTTGGCCCAATGAAATATATCACCTCACCGACCTTGTCTCGCTAAGATCCTGGGACCACCGGGTACAACTACATTGCACAATACAATCTCAGCACAACTTCTGTATGGTGTCCCCCTTTCCATTACTTTAAGAGGATGTCAAGCTCTAGGATAAAGTCTCAGACGGATAGCCCTGTTAGTTGGAACTTTAAAAACAAAGAGCAGTTCTGTGGCACCTTAGGGACTAACAAATGTATGAGACATCATGAGCTTTCGTGGGTAAAATCCACTTCATCAGATGAAAATGGGCAGATTAAGTGGGTTTACCCAGGAAAGCTCATATATTTGTTAGTCTCTAAGGTTCCACAGGACTGCTGGTTTTTTTAAAAAAATCTAGTATATTCTTGATGTAACATTAAAGTAGAGGCGAATATGCCAGGTAGAGCCCTCCCTAAATTGAAGTTCTCTACAATATCCCTTTAGTACAAATGCTCGTTTATTTAAGAGTTCTCTATAAAGCATACCTAAAAGTTCCAGTTTTTGCAGCTTTAACATCCCCATTGACATATAATATAATATACTATAATAATTATGACAGTCAATTTACTGTAGTACAATCATTATAAACGGGTATCACTAATACAACTTATAATGTCTACTACAGATTTCTGTTGGTCTCCTAATATTATTCCAGACATGCTCCTTTGTTCTTGTTGAAAACTCAAAGGAGGGAAATTAGTTTGTTGGAGAGGAAAATAATGGGTTTAGGGAGATTTACACAAAGTTTAAAAATAAAACAAACAAATCTTTCTACTGTTTCTAACACATTACTTCTGACTAATGATAAATATAGTTTTTTGTTTCTGCCAGTTAGACTCCTATATTTAAAACAAATCCCAGTGTACATATTTTTTCAAATAATATCAACTCTCGCCACATAAATAGAATGTCTGCAATCAAGCTCTTTTTTAAATGTAAGGCATAAATATTACAGAATTCTTATAACTTAATGGAATCAGAAGTCTCAACAGAATGACAGAATTCTCATATCTTGTAAGAGAGTTCCTACTTTTTACTGAATAATTAAAGCTATAGTCTTTTATTATAGTTATAAATATATATCTACCATGAATGAAGGACAAACTATTCTATGGGCTGGAGAAATACTACCTCTGTAGAATTTCTTTCCATAGGCATGAAGGTAACAGTTTAAAACACACAGTTGGGAAAAATAACTGTTTAACTCCAGTGTCCTTGAAGCCTTAAGCATTTTACTGATTACAGTATTCAAAGGCGGGTTTTAGTGCAAAGATTAATAAATCTTAGTGATGTGTTAAGAGTTACAAGCTGACAGTGTAATTTGAACTGTGGTCTCTGGACTCTGCAATATTCTGATTTCATTTTAACTTGCAATTTTTGTAAATGAGGGGAGGAGGAAAAAATGGGAAGGAAAGGGAATACAATTTCTTTCTAGCCAAAGTTCATTTACCATCCTCAAACAGTTATATCAAATGCTTATTTGACATTTACAAGATCTCTTTCACTTTGGAACATAAAGCTAATAAATGAAACATAAAAAAGTAATCTCACCACTAACAAAAGCAGGTAGAACAGGGCATTAGAAGGGGCCAAGAATCAATTATGAAGCTACCCTTTGTACCAATGGCTTCATCTTCTCTTATAGGAAAAAAGTGATATAGAAGTAAAATATTTGAAATGATCTCTGTACAATATATGTGAGAATATAAATATTTAATTGATCTTTATTTTTGAGTATGGAGAGATGATTCAGATAAAAGAATATAAAGGTCTTTCCAGGCCAAAGTGTTTGCTTGTTATAGTTGAAATTTATTTATTCTTTGCCTAACCGGTATATCTTTATTAACTGTTTAGTAGCTATTAGGGCCCTGTGATAAAATGTTAAGTATTTTCCAACTTTGTATAAGTGTTAAAGTTTCTTCCCCCTTCACCAAGTCAAATTATTGTCTGAACTACACAGACTTAGTAAAATCCAGTTAGCACGCACTTTCTTTGTATTGAATTTTGAATAAGTTGTAAAGTATTTTTTCAGTAAGAATCTGAAAGGATCAAACACTTTTGCTTAGTCATAAATGAGAATTATTTGTCAAAAAATAATGTCACTTCCAATCTGCAATTATTACAGCTCGATTTCCAAGTAGACTTTGAAACGTGGGCATTTTTGCCACGCATTTAACAGTTTTTGAAATCCCCCCATATTGATTCTGAGTAACGATACCTATGTCCTGTGTAAATGCCTTTTAATGTATCGCTTCATTCTATATAATACAATCAATACACAATGTAAAGAACATGGGGACGAGTTCTGGTTGCAAATACTATTCTATTCAGTGGAGGCACGCAAAATAATGTTCTATGAAATCCACATACATTCGGTCCGACTAAAACGAAACTTGGTATCTCACCGTGTGATTTTCAGTCTCACTTTTTACGCGATTGCATTTTAACTGACCTAGCAGAGCAGCCGACTCTGCCGTTTTCACTGCGGCAAAATTCTCGTTCAGCCTGAGAAGGATCTGGCCCGCAGGAGGGAAAAATCCTTCCTCTTTGGGTGGCCGTTTATTTATATTTGCTAAGAATTAAAATGCTCCTCTTCGGTGTCTCTCTGTCGGTAGAAGGTTTGTCCCGCGTTCTCACGTGAGGAGCGCGGGTATCAAGGCCATTTGGGTTAAAAAACTCCTCACCGGCGCTGTGTCGAACAGCTGAGCTAACTGGCGAGAGATCCGAATTCTCCGCAGCGCGGTGTTGTGACTGGCGCTAAGGGGCCGTAACCTGGGGCTGTAATGATCGCGGGAAAGCCCCTGCGGGACAAAGATGGCAAATGGGCCGCTTTCTTTCGCCTGTTTTGCTGCGCCCGGAGAGCCGGGAGCAGAGCGCACAGAGGGACGCAGGTTGGGGTGGGGGTGCGCGGCGGGGTCTCTCGGTTCACTCCGGATTCGCAGGACTTTTTCCCACGCGCGGGGCTTTGCAAAGGGCTCTCATGAGGATGAGTCAAAGGGGCATGGGCAAGCCAGCTCTGCTCCTCTGCCCCCTCCTCCCGCGCTTTCGCTGCTAACGCGCCTGCCTTTGTCTGTGTCCCCCCCATCAGACCTGCTGGAAGATCTGTCCGAGAGCCGAGAATGTGTGAACTGCGGCTCCATTCAGACCCCCCTGTGGAGAAGGGACGGCACCGGCAACTATCTGTGCAACGCCTGCGGGCTGTACACCAAAATGAACGGCCTAAGCAGGCCCCTCATCAAACCCCAGAAGCGAGTGGTGAGTGAGCCAGCGCCTGTCCTCATTCCAGCCTCAGAAACTGGAGTCACACCTTTTTCAGTGTGAACAGTAGCGCTGCCAACATTACAGGCCTTGAAATGTCCCCCTAGGGATTGACCCTGCCGTTTTAGTTCTCACAAAGTGCCTTTTAGTTCCTTCTGCCCTCTCACACATTGCCGGATTCAGCCAGCAGTGTAGGGTTCAGTCCTGCTCCCGCTGAACTCAAGAGCAAAAATCCTATTGACCCAACTAAGCAATCTCTGGCCTTCAATGCCCACAGCTTCCAGTGGAACCAGCACCTTAAAGGCTCAGGTTTAGGGCCATCCTGCCCTGAGGGGCAGAAATTAATTTGTTTAACCCTGCAGAAATGCTGCTTTAACATGAGTGAAGATGCAAGCTAATGTGGGAGAGGATGTTTTTTTTTAAATGAATAAACCCCCCTTCAAAGAAGCAAAACAGACTTCTAACAACATACACTGAAAATACCAGTTTTTTTGCAATGATGAAACTTGTTTGTCCAGGGGGCTACCTTATTTGCAAAGAGCTCATTTTTTTGCCAATATTTTTGTTTATAAAATTCAAGGAAAACCAATTGTTTAAATCAGATAAAAGCTTTTGTTTTGTTTTGCTCCTAAAATGAACCATAATTTGTCAAAAAAATGCACATTAAAAACCAGGGAGGAACAAACACTACAAACCAGAACCCCATTCAGCACTGGCACTAAAGAGGGAAGGAGAAAATGGAACAAGAAGGAACCATCTCTAATAAATCAGAGTTGAGGATAGAAAAGAAAGAGAATTCTCTTTTTGATAATTGCCATTAGTGGGCAAGTTATAATCAATAACATTGACATAATCCAAACTGGTGTTTGGACCCCAGTGTGAAAAAAAAGACAGTGTAACAAAATTGATCACGCTTTAAAACACTTTCAGTCACATCAGCGGCTGAAGTTCCTTCATATTTCTACTGTATAAAAAGAAATTTTATCATCAGCTCCAATACCTGGAAGAAAACCATACTAAACAAGCTTTTAAAAGCCACATTTTCTTTATCATGTCAACAGTCATCCTGCAGAGTGCCCTTAAACCAAAGAATTCATTAAGTCAAAAGTTAATCACTTTTGGATAATTTCTTAACTGGTTATTTAGCAAATTTTATTAAGTATGGTGTAATCTAATTAACAGAAACAAATGCAGCACACATGAGGCCATATCCTCAGCTGTTGTAAATGATTATAGCGTTCCTAACTTTTAAGGCACAGAACAGATACACCCGAGCTTAAGGGCCTGGTCCATGGCATTTCTGGTTTAATTTTTTTTTTTTTTTTTTTTTTTTTTTGCATAGAACATAATAAATTGCAGCAATTTCAATCTGACACCTCAATGAAATAAATGCTTTACAGTTTTCTATGAAACATATAGTAATCTATTCTAAATAAATATGCCTAAATTATATATTATGTATGATTGTATATTCATACATCTGGAAGTATATAATAAAAATGGTTTTAAGATGATAAGCATATTTTGGCCCTTATCCTACTGTTACTGAAGTCAGTGGTAAAACTCCTGCAACAGGAAAGCCAAGATTTTTTATTTCATTTTAGTGCCAAAACTTTTTGAAAGTGAAATAGTTTTTTAGATAAATTAGATGTTATTTACAACCATGATGCAGACAATTCTAGAACACAGAGACTATAAAATATATTGAGACTTACACCAATTTTCATGGAAACAAAAAGAAAAGAAAAAATTGTAATAAGATCCAACTATGTACATATTGGAAAACGCAGCATATACATTGGGGCCAAATCCTATTTACATTGTACACATGCAGCGCTATTGCTTTCAACAGTAATTTTGCTTTAGGAAAGAAAGGAAAATTTGAAAGCAGCGTGTATCTTTTTCTTTTATTAATATGACAAATTCTATTTCAGTATTAATTGTTTGCTACAATACTTTTAGTATTGCCTTAAATTGGTATATAATATAATGCCTTTGTTTCAGCCTGTACTACAGCGTGGCGATTATATTACCTTCAGTATTCAACCAGATCCAAATTAGATCCAAAGTACCCAGTCAAAGCAATTATATTTATTTTATTATTCTCTCTTTGTAAGTGTGGTGTAAAATTATAGCTGAATACTTAGTGATATGAATAGATAAAATTCAAGATTCTTGACTATAGCGCTGAAAAATACTTACCATTCTGAAAACAATTTTTTGTTTTCTGTATGGCAGGTGTGGTACCAAAGGTCAACAGATATGTTGCACAAACTAGCAGTAAATGACACAAATGGAAAGGGCGTGTGCCTAAGAAATTAGCTCTTATTGTGGACTCTTTATTTATGGCTGTGATGGGATGAATGCAATGCACTGAAACTGTCTGTTCTATGCAAATTGTTACAGCCTGCAAACATGGCTAGTCTCTGATTTTTTGACATTGCAATACTTTGTAAAATAATAGATTTATTATGTAGCTTAAATTCCTTGCTTGTGATGAATGTGAAAGAGAGCGCTTGTTACAGGAACTTTTATAGCCCATTCACCTTCATTTCACATGTTTATGAGGACTGGCTTCACTTATGATATATAGTCTGCAGTCATAAAGCTCTTTGTTATATGGTTATTTCTGATATAAGGTTGCTTCATCTTGGCTCCAAACTCCACTGAAGAGTGTCATAAATGGCTTGTTTATAATATGGACCTTGCTGTCATACACCAATTTATTGACTTCGTAGAACATTCACACACAGAGAGAGTGAGAGAGCACTCTTCTCCAAGCTATGTTCCATGTTGTTTTTCACTTTGTGATAAATACTTGTTTACAAAAATTACGCTGTTTGTTGTACATATTAAATCCTTTTGATATCTGTTCCATGTTCCTTTTCCATGTCAAAACAAAAGTTTTCAGCTGTCAGCCCTTCAGGTGAAGTTAGTTTGTGAGAACCATGCTGTCTTTTTGCTTTAAACAGAGTCCCTGCCATTCGGGAATGTTCATTTTTCACAACTGTTGGGCTGGGTCATTAAAAGATTCAGTTTCTTGTCAGACCAATTTAAGGCAATATACTTAAAAGTAGGCAATTTAAGGCAACACAAAAAAGTGCCTTGAAAACCATTACTTTATAGTAGTACATTATGAAAAGAGAGAGCGTGCTTTGAAAGCTACATGGCAGAGACATGTTCACTGCCCAGTTTTCATTGTGATGGAAATCTGGTGAAAAACTTTGCAGCTGCCTTTCATATCCAAGCTATCAAAGGAAGTGAAGAGATCCCATTGTCTGAACACACAACTGGTGATCAGCAACTCTTTAGTTCTAATTTTGCCTCCCTAGAATTGGGAAAACCTCATTACCTCTTTGCATAAGTTTCCCTGTTTGTAAAAATGAGGATAATGACACACACATTTTGGGGTTAGGGAGTCAGGTCTTAATCGGATCAGGTTGTGACGCAGCATACAGGAGTAAAATGTTGTTACCCTGACTTTGTATTAAACATAGTTTTGATACATCATTTACCAATCTGTTCCACTCTCCAGTTGTTAAGTGGCAAAGTACATATGTTTATATTTGTTATTTTTTTCCTTTACTTGTGCTTGCCCCCTAGCCTTCATCAAGACGGCTTGGTTTGTCTTGTGCCAACTGTCACACCACAACCACAACCTTGTGGCGTAGGAATGCAGAAGGCGAGCCAGTATGCAATGCCTGTGGACTTTACATGAAACTTCATGGGGTAAGCTGCTATTTCAATCCCAAGTTTGATTCTTGTTTAGTAAGGGCCTGATCCTGCATGCACACCTCTTATGAAATATCCATTAACGTGAGTAGTAGCAAAGTGCCCTTTTCCTTTTATGCGGCAGGATCAGAGTCTAAATAAAGCTATCTTAAAAATTCTGTAAATGCAAGTTAAAGTAAAGATTAAGAAAAATGATTCAGAATGTCATTTGCTAGTAAGTGGTTGGTTATACTTTTTCAGCAAATGTAGAAAAATAATGTATGAAAATAACCGTACTGTGAAATATAAATGGAATACATTTAGCACTAGATTTTGGAAATCTTGTGAGTAAAGTTATACACATGTATAAGAGTTTGAAGGACACGAGTTTTTTGAATTTAGGAATATGTTGTCCAGCCTTTTTTTTTTAAAAAAAAGAACTTAAAGATGGTTATAAACATTATAATAATTGATTATATTTTCCAAAACTTTTTAAAATGAGGCAACTGATATTCATTTTGAATACATATGTTTTGTTTAAAAGGTGTTGTAATTGCTCTGGGTTGTGCCCAGGAAAGCTCATGATACTGACTATCTATCTATCTATCTATCTATCTATCTATCTATCTATCTATCTATCTATCTATCTATCTATCTATCTATCTATCTATCTATCTATCTATCTATCTATCTATCTATCTATCTATCTATCTATCTATCTATCTATCTATCAGTCTCTAAGGTGCTACAGGGCTACTTGTTTTTTTTAAGTTACAGACTAACACAGCTACCCCCTGAGACTTTAATGACCCAGACTCCAAAGTAGCTATTTGTGTATTTTCTTTGTGTAAAGATAAATTTGAATATAGTGCATTAGTTCACATGGATAGATACTTAAAAAGAACATATATTATGTTTTAAAGACCTGTCCTAGAAGCACTTAGGTCGAGGCTTGTTCCCAGTTGGAGTCAGTAGGAATAAGATCCTACCCTTTGTGTTTATCTGTTTTGCAGGATCAGCTTCTAAATCATAAGAATCCAGTCCTGTTGTTCTTATGAAAATCTCCAGCTGAAGTAAATCAGAGTTTTGGCTAAGCAAAAACTTTAGGCTTTTTGGAATCACTGCTATAGAACAAAGAAAGAATAGTCATTTTTTATAGAATGGAGTCTATATAATCCATAAAAATACTCTATATTGATTTGGTTGGTAGCACCATTTGATCCTATGTTAAAATTTAGTTTCTGCTGAGTGCTGTACATACAAAATTTTAATGATCTGTGTTGCTTTTTTCCTCTTCTAGGTTCCTCGGCCTCTTGCCATGAAAAAAGAAGGAATTCAAACGAGAAAGCGAAAACCAAAGAACATAAATAAATCAAAGACGTGTTCTGGTAAATATAGTAAGAAAGGCTATTTGTATGTAAGGATTTTGTCATGCTTGATAATATTTGTTACTAATCACAGTTACTGCTGTTGCAGGTAACAATAATAATGCAGTTCCTATGACTCCAACATCCACGTCTTCTACTAACTCAGATGATTGTAGCAAAAATGCTTCCCCTAGCACACAATCTACAGCCTCAGGGGTAAGTGATAAACTAGTATCTTTATTTGTAAGCAAGCTGATCACTGTACAGTATGTTATCTCCACTTTTATCTTATCTAGCGGTACAATAATCTAAACAAACTTCAGTTGTGTTAGCAGATACTGGAGCAAGATTTTCTGAGGAAATTACATGCAAATGTAAACAAAAGGACAAGCTGAAGTAATTTACAAACCTCTTAATTAAGATCTATATAATTTTTATGATTAAATCAACCAAAGTGTAAACAAAAACATTTTGTTTTGAAGAGTCTAGATTGTTTTATCTTAACATTTTTTTTATACATAACAGCAATGCACGGCATAGTGACAGTATCAGTAACATTAGTGCACATAACACAAATTCCTTGAATGCTGGCCAACATGCATGTACAATTCCAGACACTACCCAACTCATCCTTTCCAAAAGTTATTTAAAATGTGCACATGGATAAGCATGCATAGCACCCCTCACACACAAAATTTAAACTTCCAGTAAAAGCTTAAAACTCAATCCTGCTGTCTGGGGGGCTGACAGCTTCTGCAGGATCCCAGGCAAGGTGGGAGGGGGGCCTCGGGCAGAACAGGCAGGAGCAGGGCAGCTAGACCTCAGCACCACCTGAACTGCAGCTCTGGACACCCCTCCCCCAGCCCTCAGAGCTGTTCAGCAGTGCTCCGGTGACAATTTAAAGGGGCCCCGGACAACTGTTCCCTTTGCCCCTCTCCCTCCTTTCTCCCATTGGGGGGCCTGCTTGAGGACTGTCTGCAGGCAAGATGAATTGAGATGTGCGCTTAGGGCCTGATCCAAAGTCATGGAAATCAGTGGAAAGATGGAAGTGGATGCTATTCAGCACTTGACAGGATTGAGCCTGTGAGGTTCACTGCACCAAAGCTTATTTATTTAACCATAACTTTCTATTTTCATCTATGTTCTAGAAGTCTCATATATGCCACATCTTCTTGCCATCCTCAGATCGGCACTTGGGATAAAATATACTATAATTCAAATTGCAAAGTAGTTTCATATAAACATCTTTTATTTGTTTACATTCCCACTCCCCGTGCACCCTTGCAATCTTCTGTATTTTCATCTACTATATAATTTACCTTAAAATATACCTTTAGTATGGCTTTAATGGTTCCTTTATGAGTAAAAAGAAGCTCGTTTATCATAATTATTTTTCAGTAAGTCTGGCACCTGATCCAAATTCCTTTCCTTGAGTTCTTCTTGAAATATGCAGTTTCACTGTCAACATAACCTTTCAGCAAATTTTGTAGTTTGTGGCCTTGTTTACAACAAAACTGCACAGAGATGCTGGACTTTTGGTTCTGATGCCATCAATCAAGATTATTAAAAGGTTGTATTTGACACGAAAAAAATTCAGAGTTAAAAAATAAATAAAATTCATTAAAAGAAGGGAAATTTGAAATGGCAACTTTGGTCTAGAATGGAAAATGATTGGGGTTCAGGCTTCCCTTTTGCCCTCCCGTCTCCTAAGCAGTCAATAAGAGAAAACATTTAGTTCTATATTCTCCACTAACTTTAGTGGGCAAATGAGTAAAAATGGCAAATGATCTTCCATTTTTCCATTTTGAACAAAAAATACCCCCAAATTTATAACAGAAAAAGAAGGGAGAGGGGGAGAAAGGGAAAAAAATCGTGTCAATTGTAGAGCCATTGCTAATGAGGCTAATTGAGTGGGCTGTAAGTGTCCCATACTTAGATTTTGATGTCATTTGGGTGTTGAATACAACAGCCCATCCAGTTCATATCTTTCTTCAAGCCATAAGAGATAGTGTTAACTTTGCACATCAAGGCTAGTCCCGCAGTCTCATTCCAGGTAGTTCACTGCACTTTTTGAGTGCCTTAATTCTTATTCTTTGAGAAATAGGAAAATGCCAAATTGATAAAAAAAAATACATTAGGGGGAAAATATATGATGTTTTAGAAACTATTGCCTACAATTCACAGAAATGTTATTGCTAAATGAATCATTTAGAAAAAAACAAATTCCTTTGCTGGTACAAAAGTAATTTGTTATGCTTTTGCAGGAGGCTGCCAAAAGAGTTCCTAGTAATGTGGAAATCTAATGGAAATAAAATTCAGCAGAATTTGTGTCAGTAACATTCATTTTCAAGCCCTACCTTTTCCATTTCCTTTAAAAGTAAAATAATGGAAGAAGGCGGGGGAGGAGAAAAGAAGGTATTTATAATCTAAAAGACAGTTAGTTACTCAATTTAGCAGCTTTGAAACTGTACATTTCATGCAGGGAATTTTACCCGATGTTAGCCTGAAGAAAAGATACTGGCTTAAATGTTGATTCTATGCCCTGCCTAGTTGAAGAAGTTTAAAAAAATTAAAATATAAGCTAGAGGAACAGAAATGGGCATGAATTATAATATTTGGATCCAGATCCAGACTTAGATCATCCCAATATTTGGAAGCATTTCCATCTGAGATTTTGGGATGCCCCATTATCCGTGCTTTTTTTTGTAAGAAAAAAGGTGCCAGTACTCTGGGCCAAACTTGTTGAGCAGGAAAAAAAAAAAAAAAAGGAAAACTTTTTTTGAGCAAAATTTGGTCACAGCTCCTTTAAGAACCACAGGGCAGCCGCATGTCCCGAGCATGCAAGTTTTTTCACTTGTTTCCAGGAGACACCATGCAGAGTAGCCTCTTCTGCCTAATTATGCTCCCTTGTGGAACAGACATTATCACCGTGCAACATGCCAGTACTTTGTGTGTCCGGTGTCCATGAGGAGCACCTGGGCTTACTTCTAGGGGAACCATCATGGTGCTCTACATTTTTGTAGCTTATGCTCCTGGACAGCACTTCCACTCTTTCAAATTTCACCCTGCATGATGGGACTGACCAGGCCTTTTGTCTATTGTTGTCCTAGTTATGATATATTTTAAGCATCACAGGCCAGTTACTGCCCTCACTTATCCCCATACATCCCAATCAATGTATTGGAACTGTTTCATTCCTGTTGATATGGTAACTGAATGAGTGTGTTTTATGAATGTGTATACAGATAAATGTGGCCATTAATGCATACCAATGCAATTTTATGAGTCTGTTCAGGGAAAAACTGGAGTCAGTGTGTTGTAATTTAGAATCTTAGTGACATTTTTGTTTTTTTGGTTGGTTTTGTTTTTTAATGAGTGGAAAAGAATACAAAGTTTTCTCAGAAGGGCCATAAAAATAAATATTGTGATATTCTAATGTAGGGCCTGATCCTGCAGTCCTCATGAAGGAAAAACTCCCATTGGTTTCACTTGGAATTTTGCTTTTAGAAGGACTTTAGGGTTGGGTCCTTAGAGAAGCAATAGCATGGACAGCAGTCTTACCATGCTGGAATGTTGTCTGTCTCTTGGAAATTAATGACATATTAGCCATTATGTTGGCATAATATGAAGGAGAGATCAAAGTAAATTTAAATTTATACATTTTTATTATAGGCAAATGGATTAATTACAACAGTACTAAAATATACTTTTACATAGTGTATGGTCACGGAATCAACAGAATTCTGTTTTTGCTATATTCATACTTACTTTAAAGTCAATCATTATTAAAAGCAGATTACAGCAGGAAAGAAAACAACAGTATTTAGAAGAATAATGTTCAGAGAAAGTGGTGTGGTTGGGAGTTGGGAAAATGGAGGCGGGGTCATAGGAGGGGTACGGACATTGGAAAATTAAGGGAACCCTCCCATCTTTACCAAAATAGGTTTTATGTAACAAAGAACATTTCTAAGTGTGCTTTGAATAAATAAAGATTATCCCGGCAGCTGAGCAAAGCCACGGTAACAAACAGGATAGCACTTTAGATCTTTAAAGCACTGTAAAATTAGTAACTCAGGGCAGCAGCTCATGACTCTTCATTAATCCCTACTTCCCTTCCCTAAATATCCTGCATAGCCTCTTTACATCTCCACTGCCATCATGGTGGGAGAGAATAGGCTCCATGTCTAATATTTCCTAGGCAAGGCTGACTCTCTCACTAGATAAAATTGGCAGCAGATCTTAGGCTTTTTTGTACAAAATGGCTACGTCTACACTGGCACGATTTTCCGGAAATGCTTTTAACGGAAAAGTTTTCTGTTAAAAGCATTTTCGGAAAAGCGCGTCTAGATTGGCAGGACGCTTTTCCGCTAAAGCACTTTTTGCGGAAAAGCGTCCGTGGCCAATCTAGATCTAGATGCGCTTTTCCACAAAAAAGCCCCGATCGCCATTTTCGTGATCGGGGCTTTTTTGCGGAAAACACTGGCCCTTTTGCGCAAAAGTTTTTCGGAAAAAGACTTTTGCCCGAATGGGAGTAGCATAGTATTTCCGCAAAAGTACTAACAATCTTACATGAGATTGTCAGTGCTTTTGCGGAAATTCAAGCGGCCAGTGTAGACAGCTGGCAAGTTTTTCCGCAAAAGCAGATGATTTTGCGGAAAAACTTGCCAGTCTAGACACAGCCACCAAGTGTAGTTCTGTTTGTCTGCGTCTTATATCATAGGGGAGAACTATTAGCGCAATGCCAGTTAGGCAGAGTATCAGAGGGGTAGCCGTGTTAGTCTGAATCTGCAAAAGCACCTTATAGACTAACAGATTTAGTTAGTCTGAATCTCCTTTGGCACCTTATAGACTAACAGATTTATTGGAGCATAAACTTTCGTGGGCAAAGACCCACTTTGTCACGTGCATGTCACGAAGTGGGTCTTTGCCCACGAAAGCTTATGCTCCAATAAATCTGTTTGTTAGGCAGAGGGTTCACTACAACTTTGGGATCCCACTCTGCCACTTCAAATTCCTCTATCTTCCTCCTTCATCTCTTCCAGCCTGACTTCCTTCAGTTTCTGCCTCTTGAACTCTCACAGCACCATGACTGCCCTGGATTTGTCCTCAAAGACAGACACATGGGGAGGAATTCACATGAGTAATTTAGGCTGAGCATTGCAGTGCCCAACATTTAGATGCTCTGCTGCCTAGTGGAATTCTTCACCCTGAATTAG